CCAGCAGGTTGTATAGCACGAAGATTTGTGTGTCTTTCCATCTAGTGTGTGATAAACTTTTCAGTTGGCAAAAATGAGGACAAGCGGGGATAATCCTGAAGCGATCTAACTGGGGTCTCAACAGAAATGGCCAAAATGGAATATCAATGTAAAAAAACATATATTTTTTTATAGTCTCCAAACATTCCTTGTTCAGCTAATGTGTGCATAGCTGGTCAAAAAATTGTCTCCTCAGCCATTTTCTGCTGAACAAACTGCTAAAAAGCATGTAAAGCTGTTTCAGAGATAACAAGACCTAAAGGAATTGCAGCAGGTGATGAGTATTATAGCACCATCTGGATTTCTTGTAACTCAGTCAAAATAGCTTCTGCCACACTTCAGTGAAGAGCAGGGGGGAGGGGAGATTCAACAGTAACTTTAAGCAATGATGAATTGAGAAAGGAACACATCAAGAATAACACTAGCTCCTTTTCTTTAAAAAAGTATAAATTTCTATCTTTTCTCTTTAATAAAAAATAAAATCCAAAGCAGCTCACAGTAATAAATTTAACATGAACCATAAAGACAACCCTAATTATTAGACGTCAGGAACACAAGTGTTGAAATTCACACATCATGCTATGCCATGATTCATTTAATCTTGGATCAATAAACCACCCCTAAGCAGTTTTATACAACATACCAAGATAAAACTAACAAACCATGAATACTGCTTACCATAAGATGTGAAGTTACTGTAAAAAAAATCAAACAGTTCTTCAAGAATGATGTCTATGGTATTATTAACATCAGGTCTCTAAATGGTTCATTAAAAAGACTGTGACTGTGTTTAACAGTATCATTTTTGAGCTGCCAGAATCAGGATGTTCACTTGGCAACAATGGTGATTTGTTTTGTTTTCCTACATGCCACGTAGGGCAGAGACTAGTACTAATCTTTGCTCCTCTCTCCTATTCTCTATCTCCTCTTGGGTCATCCAAATATCTTCCAATATCTAAGTATTCCAATATTTGAGGAGCTGCCACAAAGCACCTGAAGGCAGAATAAGAAGCAATGGTTGGAAACTAAGCAAGGAGAGATCCAATCTAAAAATAAAGAGAAATTTCCTGATAGTTAGAATAATTAATTCACGGAATGACTTGCCTTCCAAAGATGTAGGTGCTCCATCACTGAAGGTTTTTAAGAAGAGATTGGACAACCATTTATCTGGAATGGTATAGGATCTCCTGCCTGAGCAGGGGTTGGCCTAGAAGACCTCCAAGGTCCCTTCCAATTCTGTTATATAAAAATAGTAAAACTTCCAAATTGTTGTTTCCAGGAGAAATCCCTTCCTAGTAAAAATGGCATTAATTCCATTTGTATTTAAAAGGCCTTTCAAATTGGAATAATGGCCAGATGTCCCATCATCAGCTCTGCAAATGGAGATTTACCTAGTAGCTGTAAGTGTAGGTGCTGGATGGAGAGAAAGAAATGAGATTCAATCTGAATACTGAGCGGTGCAGTGGCCTAGAGGTGAAGATGCTCGCCCCCCACTCAGAAGGTTGAGAGTTCAATCCTAGGTGGTGGCAGATGTTTCTCTATCAGGATGCAAAGAGAAAATATCTGCTGTGAATTCCATGTAAGTGTCAGGAGGGGCATCCAGCTAGTAAACGTTCAGCTCCATTCAGTTGCCCCGACTCCACCCCAAATAAAGGGATTAAAAGGTTGTAAAAAAAAAAAATCTGAACTTGGACACCAGGAAAAGATTCCAAACAAAAATCTTCTCCCTTTACTTTAAAAGAAAATTATTAGAACCTGCCCTTGCAGAAAGAGAAAGAGTAAAGGCTCTTGTCAGTTTCACTCTAGTTCCCGTGTTAGTGTTAGCTTTAGTGTTAGTATTCCTGTGCCTTCAGAAATAGTTGTTAAGATCTGCCAAAAGTTCCAACTGCCCAGATGATTGCTGGGTGACTGTACTTTAAGATGTCTTCTGCAAGGTATTGTGCATTGGTCTGGTTTTATTTTCCAAAATCTGGAAAATTTGCAGTGAAGGTAATCTCTCAAGCCCCTTTCTCCTTCAAAGATCTGTGAATAGTGTTTGACCAGCTGAAACTCAACTGGGAGGACTCTGGAAGCAAGAGTTCCAGCAAAGGAAAAACAAAATGTCCAGAAACTCTGCAAATCAAGGGCTTTGCAAGAAAAAAAAACCATGATTTTGCCCCCTTGATTTGTATTACACCTCAGCTAATTAACAAATCAACTCAGGAATCCAATATATATATGATATACCACAGGGCTGGAAAGACCTCGGAGATCAACACATGGCATAAAGCATAGAGTCATGGGGTTGGAAGGGACCTCAGAGGTCTTCTGGTCCAACTTCCTGCTCAAGGCAGACCTTATATCAGTGGTGGCGAACCTATGGCACAGGTGCTAGAGGTGGCACGCACAGCCCTCTCTGTGGGCACGCGCACTGTCGCCCTAGTCCTAGGCCTTCAGCTGGGTTTTATAAAACCTTTTCGCTTTAGGCCTCTGCCGCCGTGTGCAAAAAAAAAAAAGGTTCAATCAATCAATCAATTTCAACTTCTCGCAGGAAAAAAAAAGATCTTGCAAAGTTGGAATTGATTGATTGAACTTTTTAGTCCCATCAGTCTGCTGTTACCACCGCAGCCATGCCCACCCAATGGGCCACACCCACCCAATGGGCCATGCCCAGTCAATGGGCCACACCCACCTGGCACTTGACGATGTATAAGTGGGTTTTGGATTGCAGTTTGGGCACTCGGTCTCTAAAAGGTTCGCCATCACTGCCTTATATCATCCTGATCAAAAGGCTGTCCATGAGAACACAGAGGCCTAAACTTGCTTCTGGGGCGAGCAAAATACCTGTTTGGAAATGGCTTCAGTTTAATCTACTGGCCACTAGATTTCCATTCTTCCCTACCTATCTGCCACTCTATATAAAATTCTCTTCATAGTTGATTTCTCTCCTTTGTTATTCTACTAGCCTGCAATACTAGGCTGGCTTGACTTCCTGGCTTCTGGATACTTATTTATAAATTCTCCGGCTGTTGGATTCTTTTAGCCAGCACTTAGACGTTGAATGCTTGGCAATTACACACTGCTTGAACTTTTATCTAAACTTCATGTTCCAGTGTTTTACTTCAGAGTATATCCCTTCTTGGATACACTTCCTTCTGTGAGCTATTGCATAAATTGCAGAAAATCTGGGTAGAGGCCAAGTCTGTGTTGTTGATTTGTGAAATTTCTTCACAGTATATTTATTAGCCAAGTGTCCCTGCCTGTTTAAAATATGTTTTCCTCAGTAGTTTCTAAATATTTTATCAATTCCTTTTTTTCTTTCAAACTGGATTACAGACCTTTTATCTCAAGCTATCCCAATCATATCCATATTTGGGATATATGCTCAAGTGCAGATTTCCTCTGCTTTATTTAGGAGGGTGCACAGAGCATGAGGATATAAAGTCAGGGTGGAGATACAAATAATAAACAAGCAGAGCTCTGATCATATTGTTACGGTGACCTTCTTGACTGTTTTTCACATACTTTTCCTGTCATTTGCTTTTAGCTACAGAAAAAGGATGAAACAAATGTATACTTGAAAAAAAGACTGACCAGACTTAGGCAAACGTTGAGATCTAGTCATCTTTTATTATTAGGGGAGAGTTGAATACACATCAGTCATGTTTAGCTACTCCTGCAGAGCATCATTACTCACTTAAAATACAGTGTCAGTAAATCAGCAACCCCAATTACTCTGTACTCAGCGTTACTGAGATTGTTTTAAGTCTGGCAATGAAGTGGTATCCAAGGCTTGACTGTAGCTTTAGCTCTCACAGCACTTTAAACCAAGATCAAAACCAAGTACAAAAGGGACAGTGTTTGCATTGTGGTGCACATTTCATCATTTCCTCCCTTTTCAGGCTCCCAGGTGCACAGCCTTGTTTTAAGACACATCCCACAACTCTCTTACTATGCACTACACATTGTATTAATGTAATTTTTGCAAGTGTTGTCCAGTAAATAGAAATGCGTGGAGTAATGCAAAGTACTAAAGTATACTATCATTGACTAGTATTACTGCACTGAATGGAACATTCTATCCCATATAGTCATTTTAAATATTGAACCATCTTTCGTAAAAGATGCCCTTTGCACACAGAGCCAATGGCTACACCTGAGCCCCAAAAGGCTCTGGCATTATAGCTTAGCAAGATGTATTATCCTAAGAAGTCTGCTGGCATGATATGGTGCTAGCCTCATGTTTCCAGGGAAATGTCCTTTTTCAGGTACCAGGAATGCCTTGATGACAACAGTAAAAAAAAAAAAAAATCCTTCAAAAGCAACTATTCCATTGAGTTTTTCACTCTGATAATGTCACTAAAGGGGCCAAAGGTTTGATATGTAAAAATGCAGATTGCTGGTAAATTCCCTGCCTAGAAAGTGTATAATTGATAGACAGTACTGGGCAGAGAGAAAAAAAACTCTTGACAAGAAAAGCCCTAAACATTTAGTTATTTCCTCCCTTCTCAGTTATAATATTGCTGCAGAAAATCTTAGCAGTTATGAAATTAAGAACTCCATTACGTAAGATAGCCTCAGATCCCAGATGTTTACTGTATGTTATTTGGGAGCAGAGAAGTGTTTTATCATTTTTCATTCATCATAGTCAAAGACTTGTGACATACTTAAATGTTATTAATGGGCATCCATCCATATATATTCTGCTTCTAGTTATTATTGCTGAGAATTCATGATCTCAATAGGTTTGTGATCTGCAAATTCTAGGAATCATAATCTCACTACAGCTGGAGAACATCAATTTGAAGAAAGCTAGTACAGTACTTACATTCTTAGTATAACCTTCCTAGAAAGTTTAATTAAATAACAAGAAGTTACATTAATAAATCAAAGAAGATAGCTATGAATACTGACCACAAATGATATAAATGTAGATACTGATGATAAATAGATAAATGAACAAAAGAACAATACATATTTGGGTAATATAATTTTTATTCAGAATATTCGCAAATTTCTTAACCTTCTGTTTAATCATTTCTTTTAACAGTAAATTCAACTCAGAAATGCTTGTAGAAATGTAATCTGAACCTAAGAAAGTTAAATCAACCCCAAACATCAGAGAACAACTTAATTAGTAATAAATATACCCTACTCATTTCCAAATCTGTTTTCATAGCTGTGCTTTAAGTAAATTGCATAAATATTGATGCAATTACAAAGTGCTTATTCTTTCTTATAAACAACCAGTCAGCATCAGATTAATTTTAATAGCAATTCTGATCTTTTTATGACTATTATTAAAGAGTATGCATTGTTTGATTATATATCACTCAACCCCAAACTTCCTGCCTAATGCTGTACATAACAATCAGTGGTAAATTGGGAATATACATTAGATATTTTGGTGACGACAGAACTTCAAATTTCTAAACTCAAATTAATCACAAATGAGAAAAAATGCTTCAGAGAATGAGAATTCTTGGTCAAAAGTAGGTTTTCTCTGACATCATCTGGTCACTGTCGCATCCTGCAATGGACAATGTTAATCTATCCCATAAGTTGCTGAATTCTCACACAACAGTAAGACATTGTTTCTTGAACCATTATTTTTTAAAAAATAAACCACAAGTCATTAGCTTCCTATAAAACAAATGGCAAACCATGTTCCACACACTATGCTAAATGAAAAACAAGCATCATTATGGTTTTAAATAATGCTCTTGTACTTCAAGACAATTGGATGGACAACGTTTTGATGGCTCAGGAACGCTACTTATAATTTTAATGCGAGTGAACATCACAGTTGGTGGGATGATAATGCAAAATGTGACCAGCATGATTTTTTTTTCATTTCTTTCCACCAATTGTTTAAAGGGACAGGCATATAAAGTTTTTGTTTTATCTTGTTTTAGTGTGCATCAAGTTTATGTTGAGGATTACACTATACTTTCTCAAAAATTAAAAAAATCCCACTTCTAATTTTCAACAACTGAATTTTGTAAAGAACCCAGATGGATGCAACACATTTAAAACAAAAAATAAAACAGGGACTATATGTAGTCCTGAGAAACAATGTGAGAGCGCCAAGGACCCCTCATAATTGCTATTTATATAATGTGGCAGGACCCCTCACTTCAGTCCAAATATTCTCCTCTAACAAAATCAATTATATTGGGTTAGAAGAGGAAGTAATTTTTTTCTTTGCATTTTAAACTATGATAACTTCTTTTAGGCTTATACAAAGCCATCATGTTTTGCCTTTCAGAATGGCAAGAAATTGAAATGATATGATCAAGTGAGAGAAGAATTTTCAAAGGTATTACAAAGCAATTTTATCTGAGAATGGAGATAAAGAGGGTGCTGGTATTGAAAATGGCAGAAAATCCACATTTGCTGACGCAGATAGAAGCTGCTGTGGCCTGGGACTTCAGGTGGCCAACTCTTTCATATCAGAAGCAAACATAGTTTGCTGAGAAGGTATCTGGTAAAATCAAGATTCATATATGGACTATTTGTCCTCAGTACTACTGTACTAGTTTTTCTGTGCACGAGCAGGTTATCAATGTGACAAATAATAAATAAAAACCTCATTTATTATTATTCAAGATATTTGAGGCTTAAGAAACTTGAAAATTGTAGCATCTAAGAACTGCATCTTTTCAGGGTTTGAAGCTGTTGCAAATATACAGTAATGCCTAAATAAGGAGTGTACTTTTATGTGTATATATCTTTCTTGCAATAACCTACGTTTAGAATGTTTTCCTAATCCTACGTTTCACTTTTCTCAGTATACAATATGATATTTTACTATATGTTTACTAAAGTATTCACTTCAGCTTTGAAATTCTAATGTAGTAAAATTATTCTGTGGGTCATCATTAATTTTCTCTTGTAGTCTGAAATCTTATGCTGATTGAACTCTGCCATCTCTTGGAAACCTAGATAACTACACCCAACTTAAAGATCATGAACTGCTTATAAATAAAAAGATAAATAAAAGATAGTTGATAACTGAGCATGGGGACGGCACTGAAGGCCCTCTTATTATATGAGATCTGAGAGCCACTGGGCCACAATACTTCTGAAGAAATCTGGATTTTATTTACCACTAAATTTTGCAGGATTACAGTCCATTTACATAGCCTAAGTCAATCTAATCATCTGCTGTCCTGAAAGCCGTAATTCAAACAATGTAGCTGATGACTCAAGTTTAGAATACTAAAATTTGAAAAGTTTTTTTTCAGATGAGCTTTATTAGACCTTCTGTCTCCTACAGTTCTCATGATGTACTATCAAGTTGGTATTAAATGAGAGTATTAAATTCAGCTAATGCTGAATGGGATGACGTTTTGATCAGATTTATTTTATTTATATAGCTGCCCATCTCACAGCAGTCTGCTGGTGATTGGCCCAAAGTCACCCAGTTGGTTTTCACGCCTAAGCTGGGCAGCTTATAATGAAACAGGTCAAACAAGTAAAAGGCTTAATATAAAATAAAAATCCATAGCAGCCGAACATAATAAAATAACCATCAACGAAATGAATAGATAGGCACTTTTCTGGAACCTCAAGCCTGGGCACAAAACTAATCATTTGGGACCTTGCAAAATTTTCCCAGGAGGGTTAGTTACATTGCTTGGGGTGCTTTACCTGGAATTAGTGGGGTCTAGTCTTCAGTTAATATAAAGTATACCACAGTCAGGTTGGTATCAAGAAAACCAAAGCACTCTTCTGCTGAAAGCATCATATTTGCTGCCAATTATTTTTTTTTCTTGGTACAGTGCTATATACATTCTTCTAAATCAGACGTGTCAAACTGGTGACGTCATGTGATGTTGTGCAACGTATTGGGACGGTTTTGCCATTGCCGGCAATGGGGTGGGCGCGGTTTCCGTATGACGCATCCGGCCCACGGGCCAGCTCTTTGACACCCCTGTTCTAAATCATTTCTGATCCCTCCACCCCAAAACTGAAATCTTTGGGACATTTATTTATGGTTTTGTGAGTGCCTAGAAATCTCCTCTTGCAATCAAGGATATGCTCCTGAAGAATTGAAGGGATTAAACTTTTTGTCAGGTTTTTAAAAGCATTCAGAACAATGTGTCTTCTAAAACGGGATTTTGACTGATGTTCAATTTAATTTTGATCTTAATTTTCACTTTAATATGAGCAGGTTTTACAATAAACCATCAGAAAATTCAGTAGTTGACAGCGTAACTGTTCAATCAGTCAGTCAGAAAGCTGGAGTGTGCACACAAGTGTTTCCCAGATAAAATCTGAGGAGCCACTACAGAACAAGCCTGCATGACATATTTTAAAGCTGTTTTAGCTGTTGTATCAGGGAAAATACAACAGCTAGGCTACCCAATGAATGGGTTTCCAGAATTGGAAGCATCAGAATACTCTCACCTAGCCATGTAGTTCTTTAAAGATGATATCATATGATATTAATGCTTCAGTGATGATTAGATCAACACTGCAGTTTGGTTGTATATACATTATCTGTGGTCACCAAAATCTTGCCAGGAGCTTACAGAATCACCTGAAATCATCTCCATTGTCTTTGCCATAAGCCTAGTGCATTTTCTGCACTTTCAGAAGTTTGGGGGAGGCAGAGTTTTTTTTCAAAAGTTATCAATGGTCTTGGGCCAAGTGATGAAATCCAATTAAGACAATGTTGCAATGAAATCTGAACTCTTGCAAAATGTTAGAAATTCAGCAGTACAGATGCATCCTTTCAAAACCATGTTGAAAAATTAGGAAGTTAAATACAAAAAAAGAATCTGATCCTCTTCTTACTACAGATGACAAATCAGTAGGGGCTGGTCCTGTTCTTAGCTGGAATGAGGAAGCTGCTTCAGACTGTAGCTGCTGGAAGCAAGGATAGTGGGAGGTAATGGAAAACAGCCAGGTGTGCTTCCCTTGCTCATTCTTAAAAGTAGCATATTGCCATCTTCAGACGAATTCTGGAATAAGCACCAATCTCATATAGAGCATAGAATAATAGAGTTAGAAGGGACCTTGGAGAACGTGTAGTCCAACCCCCAGCTCAAGTAGGAGACCTTACACCATTTCAGACAAGTGGCTGTCTAGTTTCTTCTTAAAAGCTTCCAGCGATGGGGCACCTACAATTTCTGAAGGCATCATCAGCTTCATCAGCCTCTGCAAATGGAATGAGACAGGGGATACTATACTTCAACTTACAACCATTTGTTTAGTGATTGTCTGAAATTACAGTGCACCGAAAAAAGTGACTTATGACCAGTCCTCACACTTGCAATGGTCACAGCACCCCACGGTAACATGATCAAAATTTGGGCACTAGACATCCGGCATGTATTTATAAAACGTGCAGCATTCCAGTGTCATTATGATCGCTGTTTGCAATGTCCAGCTTCCAATAAGCAAAGTCAATGGGGAAAGCTGGATTCACTTAACAACTTCATGATTCACTTAACAAGTATGGCAAAAAAGTCATGAAATTGGGCATGACTCACTCAACAACCACCTTACTCAGCAACAGAAATTCTGGTCCCAATTTGCTATATGCTGGTAGCAAACACATGGTAAGTTGAGGGCCCCGCTGAGAGTTTCTCCTATAGAAGCATAAAATATAAATATATTGATTAAATCTGAATTTTAAGAGACATGTCCTTAGGTTGAAGTTAATATGCATAGTGAGATACTTTTGGTATTGTTCAGCAACACTGACAGTCACGTTTAAAGTTTCATGAATAAACATGATATATACGCCATCCTTTTTTTTATATTACGAGATCATTCATTAGAGTCATAACTGAACCAATGTTAATGCTATATGTAAAAATATTTTATTATAACAGATTAAGGCAATCAAAACTGCATTCACATATATTTATACATTACCAAAGCCATTCTTAATATGGCATCTCCAAAGGTTTTGGGATTGCAGCACTGAGAAATTTCAGTCAAGTTGGGAGGTTTTTTTCTGAGACCTTCTGCTGACAGAAGAAGTTTCCTAAAGATCATCTTCTCAGAACAGAGCATCTATGGGGGGCCGGGGGGGTCAAAATATCACGATTGTGGCTGCAAGCATGTGATTGAGGCCCATCCCTTGTCTCACTCCACTCCCTGCCCCCGTGGATATTTGCATCTTGAAACAACTCAAAGAATGAGAGACAAACAACTGAAGCTTCACAGTTCAGTAACAGCATTTTTCTTTGCTTCTTTCCAGGGAATGCTATAAATGGGCAAAAAAGATTTAATAGGAAAGCAGGAAGAACTGGCAAGGGCCACTAGGGCATTTTTAAGATCTGCCAAATACAAAGAATATCATCCTTGACACTTGTGGGGAGGGGAGGAGGACGGAGAGGGTCACACGACTGTCAGGTTCTTGAGTAGTAGAATTTGGTACTTAATATTTGGTATTTCTGGTAGTAAAGTAACCTAACAAATCATGTGAAAAACTAAAAACTAAAAAATGAAAAGGTATCTTGGCTCCATTAATCACAGTACATAAATAAAAAATATTTAGCCTTCATCATTTATGCTTTTCTGAATTTTACAATATAATTTACTTACATTAAACATGTTTTTCAATATATATGTGTGCACTGTAAGTACACACTTAAATATATAAAAATACAGACACATATATTCATGAAAAATAATGTTTAATGTTATATCAAGGCAATTTGTTTGCAAATTCTGTCTTCATTCTTTTCTTTGAAAAAGAAATGAATGCAAATGTCTTAAGATATTCACAAAAAGCAGATTATTTTTTGTACTATTTTTTTTTAACTTTAACTAGTATGGGAATGGCAGAAACTGAACTTTTAAAGGGAAAATAAAATAACCTGAAATAGTGGAGGGAGAAAATAAAATACTTTTGATCAATTTGCCCATACCTATTCTTTATAATGTGTTTAATCTGGTGCCTTACTCTTCATATAAATATCCACCCTCTGTGTTAGTTAGAGAAACAGCTAGAGATTCAATATTTAGTATAGGGCTATTGACTGATTGATTGGTTATGACATCAAGTCAGTATAAGGAACAACATAGATTTTCATCAAGTATAGTGTTGTAATGCAGTATTATTTCTGTAGTGTAGACCAATCATAAAAGCAAATTATATTAAATTTTAAGTTATCCTTGCAACTCTTCAGAGTAATAATTCAGTCGTACTTTTAGGTGCTAGAACTTTACCGCATTCAAATGGAACAGATTTAGAAATTATTTCTTCTTTTGAAAAAGAGGGTATAGTTTTATCATGATTCCAACTATTATCTCCAATGTAAAATACTGGAGAAATAACTATTATTAATAAAAAAAAGATTTGAGGCTTTATCTACTGTAACAATACTTGCTACTAGGGATATAAAGGAACTATTACTTAGGAAAAAAGGACTTAAACATTTTTTTTAAAGTCCAGAACAATGGGATAACATTCGAAGTGGCTCAGGCAGTTGCCTCACTAATTCACTGGAGTTAAGAAAAAGGAGAAAGTAGAGCAGAATCAGACTTTCAAGATTCCGTTATTTCAGCCAATCTCAATAAAGTTGTTTTAGCCCTCCTACTGAGTCAATTTCCTAGACTACCTAGCAGAATTGACATTACTAATATTGTTTTCGCTAAGTAAAAAAAATTGTTTTCTTTTTATTATAAACCCCTTAATTTACAGACGGTGGCACGGTGGCTTATTAGTGAAGAACTGGGATTGTCGACTGCAAAGCCAGCAACTCAAGTTCGAGACCCAAGCGCCACCTGACGGGGTGAGCTCCCATTCTTGCCCCAGCTTCTGCCAAACTAGCAGTTCAAAAGCATGCAAATGCAAATAGATAATTAGGTACCATTTTGGTGAGAAGGTAACAGCGCTCCATGACGTCATGCTGGCCACATGACAGCAGAAATGCTTCATGTATAACACTGGCTCAATTGCCTTGAAATGGAAATGGGCATCGTCCCCTATAGCTGACAACAAATAGCAGAGTAAAATCTGCAGGGACTTCTTTACCTTTTTACCTTTACATAACTTACAGAAGGAACTACCAAATTTGGCATCAGATCCATGAGAGAAGTGTGTAACAGTCTTCAAATGCTTCCACTAGAAAAGAAAGCAAGTTTTTAGTTCATGGCTCTTGGAAGCCCCATGGAATTTGTGCTACCCTCTCTACCCTCACAATCTCACATCAACATATATATATGAAGTCTGGTTCCATAGCTCCTGGGAGGAAGCAGCTATTCACTACTGTTTGTAGCATTGCAGGCTTCTGTATTTCTTGCTAGGTGGATTGTCCCATCCCCATCCATTTACATGACACAGCCTAGCCAATTTCACAACATCACCCCCTGCTTGCTGTAGCCTTCTCTGCTCCCCCACTCCCCACAAAACAAGAAAAGATAAATACTTGTTCATTCTGTAAAAGATTGTCTGTTCCTGGAGTAAACTATGTAATAATGAGCAGTGGGCATATGTTTCCAATCTTCAGAGAGGGTTTTACTCTTTTTATCACCACCACACATATCTTATTATGTCTGAAATAGTCCCATTAGTATTTAAATAGCATTGAAAGCTTTGCACATGCTCTGTCTGGTATTGTGGATTCTCATTCATCCAGAGATTGCAGTTTAAGTACAGCGTTTTGAGAGCTGATGCTGCACTACCAGCAGATCCCTACCTAAGCAAAGGAGTAAAAATGCTTTTTTTTTTTTTCATGAAACTGTAATGCATTAATCTATTTGCAAGGCTTGTTTCCACTGGATCTATTGGCAGCAGAGGATAAGGCTCCCATTTTTTGTCTTTTTTTAAGAAGGCAGATTTAAATCAAAGGAGACAGGTGACAGCAATTGCTAGACGTGCATTGTTTACTAACAAAATGTAGGCTCTAGCTGTAAGGATTTCAGAATCAGTCATGGATTTTAGCACTTCATCAGTGTTTGATCATCAGAAAGGTAAGATAGTTGTTTTTTCATCCTAAGATTCATTCACTGAATATATTTCTCCTATCCTATAGTTGTATTTCATGAACACAGTACAAAAAGCTCTACGTTGTATAGGGAAAATCGGGGAAGATGAATTTTAAGTTAAATTGTCCAATTTGATTTTCTGAACTTGTTGATTTTTAAAGCAGGTTCTTTCTGCAGTCTGTTTTGAAATCAGTCATTTACATCTGCTGTCTAAATTGTTAATTGAAACAGGTGTATTGTTGGAGGGGGGGAGGAGACCTGGCAGTGCCTGCCATTTGTTCTTATCTTTGATCAATGATTTTCTGTGCCATTCAAAACCTGCGTCCTATGTTTTGTCATTAGTAAAGAATTGTGTTTCCTGATCAAAATAAATGATTATGAAACTACAAAATGAAAGCAATAGAAAAATGTGTGGCTAGAGTCATTATTTTCTTTGAAGAATTATTTAAATTAGGTGTTTGGGAATGTTTGAGTTAAATTTGCCTAGTCTTAAAATAAACATACTTTTTTTCTGGAACAATTAAGGTGGATGTAATAATGATCTCTGGGGGGGGGGCAGGTGATAATTTTGTCTCAATTTTATGTTTAAGATCTTTATACTATATGTTCAATTCTATTTCTTATCTAACTTTTTATGAATTAATTAAAGGATTAGACTTCTACTGTGAAATAACATTACAGATTGATATTGCCTTAACTATCTTTATACTTCCCCCTTTACCCTGGCATTTCAACATTTTTTGTTTTTGTTATCTATATTGTTTTCGGTGCTACTTCTTGTAGACTCCATTAATTTAGTTGCTAATATGAGCCATCAGGGATTCTTCAATTCCAAGGCTTCTCCATTTAATTCAGTCCAAAGGGAAATTTCATGCAAGGTTTTGGACTTGGTTAAGAGTAAGAGAGCAAGTGTGCATATGAATCACTGAAGCACACCAAAGTAATTTACATAGATTACAATCTTTGCCGTCTAAGACTCCATCTCCAGATACAATCACTTATTAAAAAGGAATTGACAAACATGATAAGGATTTCTCTATTCCTAATTTCAGAAAGATGAGCATCCCCATTCACAGCAAAGAAGACCATGGGTAGAATGTGACCCAATACTCTCCCTGAATAATCAAAAGCAACTGCTACGCCATTGAAATGTGGAAACAGGATTTTTGGGCCAATGATATTATTTTATAAATTTCCTCCAACTATTCAACAAAAACTTCATATAATAGAATTGGACACATGGATTAACGTCTTTTAAATATTACTGTAGTTGCTTTTAAGCATAAATTTTCTGTCTTGGGTATTCAAAGAGTAAGGCAAATTAGAGAACCCAATCTTTTTTATGATCCATTGTCCTGCTGTCCATCACTGACATGATTCACCAGTATTTGTATATTACATACAACAAAGTTAATTTGTACAAAATAAAAATATGTGATGGCCATGCAGTTTGCACAAATTTTATTGCACCAAACATCACTCCTGCTTTATTTTTATTGTTTACTTTTTCTATGGCTTTTATGCCATTCACTTCCTAAGGTTCCCAGTGGCTTATATCTACCTAGGAAACATACAGTTTGAAATATAAGCATTTATATTACTGAGGCAATATATTTTCATGCTCCATTTAAATCTCAGCCTTACCAAAAGCAATCCTGAAGCTCCATGTCTGATGTTACAGTATATGAATAATGAAATGGCAGAGTGGGGGTGTGAATAGCAATTAAGATCTTATGCATCTGATTTTCATACATTCATATTAAACCTCCCCCCCCCAATGCATGCAAAATGTGAAAGGCTATTTATACAATCCAGATTCCATACCATTACAGTATACACATATTGAGTGAGTTCTCTGGACCTTCTTATGCACAAGAACAAGAACAGAAAGGCATTGGAGAAAAGCATTGCCATAGAACCCTCTTAGAGGACCTGGTAGACTTACTAGCAGAGTGGCAAAGAAGAGTAACAATAATGCTTTGAATAGAGTGTCAACAGATTAAAATCATGAGCTATATTTTTCTTGGAGGAAATTCCAAGTCATTATGGAAAATATAAATATCAGATCTTTGAGAAAGTGAGAAGGCTAAAACTATCATTGACAGTGATTTCTGGTGACTCAGATCTTCGTAGGTGTCCAAGAATGCTAAATGTTAATGCTGGTCAAATCATATAACTCTTAGATATTCCTGCTCCCCTTTCTCTATAATGCATAAAGGACATTTTTCATAGGGAATATACATCCTGTTCAAAACAATCCCATGTTTTACCTGTGATTCTGCTAGCCTTCGTATCTATTTTTAAAAGGCCAATAACTAGTGTTAATATAAAGGATAATGGTTACTTGGTATATCCTGCCCTCCCCCTTTTTTAAAAGAGAGATTTTTAAAGACCCTCCTATTAGGTTGATTTTAGATTTCTGCTAGCACCTTTTTTCTTTTGGACTGTTAGACTGGCCAGAATTGTGCTATGGGAAGAAAAACAGGATAAAGATACATGGACATTCTGGGGGATGATCCATCCATATGGTCATTAAAAGGTGGCACTGATTTCATGGCATTATACAATGTGTCATTATCATTTCCATTGTGAAGTACACTAAAATAAAACTATATGGGAAATTATTTTGAACTGCATTAATTAAAATAAGAAATAAATAAAGTCCACTAACAGCAGCAGTGAGCTATAATAAATTCCTGCATAATTCCATCATTTCTGCAGATGGAATAAATTGCCACTTGTTGCCTAAAGTTACAGAGCCGGCCCTAGCTGGCAATTTGTGTGCAAGCATGCCCTTGGTGTCTGAGTAATGAAAGCTCCTGCCAGTAACTGAAAGGATAGAAGCTAATTAGAGTATGTTCATGACGCTAAAGCAGCAAATATAAATAATGTTTTCATACACATTTCCAAAGAAATAGGTTCACTATGCAGTCCACTGTAAAGAAAAACAATCTATTCTGCTAGACAGAAGTTCCCTAAAGATAGGCTTCAGCACGAGCCCAAAACCTCTAGTCCTAGTGACCAATCCAGATTGTATCCTGCAACATTATCCTGGGACACATATATTTGCCTTCATTCAAAGGCAAATCTATTTAAGTATCCTCTATCAGGTTCAAATCTAGTTTTAAAGAATGGATAATATCAATCCATAGAAAAAGCAGGGGAAATGACACAACATTCCTTTTACTGTAGCTATGAATGAGTTTATATTCCATGTCATAGGCATCTGCAATTGTTAAAGTAGCTGAAGAAAGGAGCCTCAGAATATAATCTTGGGTATCTTCTGTTCTATTTAGTGATCACTGTTCTATGCCAGGGATGTCAAACTGCCGGCCCGCAGGCCGGACACATCATCCAGAAGCCGCACCCACCCCATTGCCAACAAAACCGTCCCGATACGTTGTGCGATGTCACATGACATCACGAGTTTGACATGTCTGTTCTATGCTATGCCATGAGGTTCCATCTCATTGCTTATGTTTTTAAAGTGTAAACAAAGTGAGAGAAGCCAACATACATAAGATGCTCCCAGAAATCATAACTATAAATTGCTATCACACAGTATTCCAATCGTATAAAGCAGGGGTCCCCAACTCCTGGTCCATGGACTGCAGCATGCCAGAAACCGGTCCACGCAAAAAAGCAAAGCCCCATCTGCAGGATGTAGGCAGTACATGAAACCATGCCCCCTCCGGTCCACGGAAAAATCTCCCTCCACGGAATCAATCCCTGGTGTCCAAAAGGTTGGGGACCTTTGGTATAAAGCACCAATGTACATGGAGCTGCTTTGCACAGGCAAAATATCCTTTGCAGATACCATCCTGAAAATGTATATTCAGTGCTACCAATTGTATAGTCCAATTCTTTTCTTTTCCATGTGTTTATCTTTCAATTAGAAAAGAGATAATCACACAGTACACTGTGAGTATGAATACTGTTCAAAGACCACAGTACATAGGACTGGTTTTCTCTAAAATGAAACATTAGTTGCTAGGTTACCTTTTGATTTAACTGCAAGGAAAGCATACCTTTCACTTTGTTCTAAAAAGGATTGTCCTAAATTTGAGTTTAGCAATCTTGTTGTGGGTTTCCCCTATGCAACTGCTATAGAATTTGCAGATATCTCAAGTAAAAACC